AGCCGTCTTTTCAAGACAATAAGGGAATTAAAATTTCAATTTAAATGCAGAGGTTTGAAACACGCTTCACTGGCAAAATTACTTCAATTAATGTGAGTGGAATACAAAGGACAGACTGCAGAAATGTGATGCTGCAACCAGAAATTATGTCATTAATGTGCTTGCATCAACCCAGCACAATGACTGCAAAGGTCTAATTTAAACCGTACATATCACAAAGCTACAGGCTACAATATTAATCAAGTCTCTGATTTCAATGTGACGGATACAGGCTTCTCGTTGGATCACTTTTAGCTTTTCATAAGCCAACAGCAGCTGTTTACCTTGAAGAAAGAAACAAAAGGCCAGACCTATTTGCAGACATTCCCTGTCATGACAATTTAATTATTTTATGCAATACTCGGGTTATCACATCAAAAGAAGAAACAAATATCTCACCTAGAAGCCAAGCCTATAGCTACCAGACCAGTCTGATGGTGAAGTAGGAACAGCAGGAGCTGCCAAGAGCAATGGGTCACCACAGAGTTATTTACTCTGGATTTATTAATCTATTCTGAGTAGGGATTAAATTACTAAGCATCTGCATCTGCCTTAAAATGGAAATGCAAAATCTTCTGACAAACAAATCCAAGGAAATCGGGGGTTTTGAAGACTAGATTGTTTTGTCTTCACTTTCCTCTGATGTCTTTTAGCAAAGATTTCTACTTGGACCCTTGAGATGCCTTAAGTAGATTTTACTTCTAATAGTACAGAACCATGGGGAAAGAAAATGTGATTGCTTTCCACGTGAAGTCCAATGAAAGAGCAATTATAGAGCTTACTACTCAATCTTATATACCACAGACCAAGTTGAAGATATCTCCAACCTTTTAAGTGCACTTTAAATCCTACCTTCATGAAATTTTTGCATATTGGGATATACAAATCATTGTTTTTTGGGATATGCCAACTCCCCAGAACATGCAAAGTTATAAAATGGTAATATCAGAAGTGGAGTTGTTGAGAGAAATAAGTTAACAAATGTAACATATTTCAGATAGTACCAGGCAGGACATAGTAAGTGCTCAATACATATTAGCTATTGTTATCATTGTCATTCATTTAATTACTACAAAAAGGAAAGGTTAGACACTAGAGAACCTTGCCATTAAAAAATAAATAAATAAATAAATAACCAGAGAAGAAAAAACAGAACAAAGCTCCCACAAAAGAAACACCTTTTTCTTTCTGTAGTGGTATTAAAGTCTTCCACATAGTCACCCATTTAGCTAATGATCTGTGAACTCTGACTATATGAGCTATGCTATGCTGGGAACAGGGCAGACAAAAATAGGTAAGAAACAACCCCCACCCTCAATGACCTACTACACCAACAAAAGGAATTATATATATTAAAATGAAACATACGAGCTTATGGAAACATAAAGAAAAGCACCTAGCTATCTGAATATCTGGGACATTCAAAGAGTTGATGAAATTTGAGCCAGGTCTTAAAAAATAAGTCATCACTTTTCAGGCAGACAGTATTGGGAATCAGTTCAGGGAAATATAAGGTCAATTAAAAAAGAAAAATACATCACATCCTTATGCACCAGCAACCAGTAACTAGAAACCTTAATAAATAAACAGCTACTGTTTTAAAAGACAACAGCAAAAAAATGTAATACCCAGAAATACATCTAACAAAATACATGCGAACCTCTAAGGACTATATCGCTAAGCATTATTAAAGGACACAAACAAAGATTTTAATAAATGAAAGGAATATGTTCACAGATAAGGAGACTTAACGTTGCAAAGATAATTCTCTTAAATTCTATCTATTAGCTATTGAAGGTTCAAGTGATTCTCCAGCCTCAGCCTCCTGAGCTAGCTGGGATTACAGGCATGTAATCCCACCTAATTTTGTATTTTTAGTAGAGATGGAGTTTCACCATGTTTGGCCATGATGGTCTCGAACTCCTGACCTCAAGTGACCTGCCCACCTCAGCCTCCCAAACTGCTGGGATTACAGGTGTGGGCCACCATGCCTGGCCACAAAGACAATTTTGAATAGCAACAGACAATCTCTTCACTTCCTATCAAGATGTATTATAAAGTTATAGGAGTTAAAACAGCATGGTTTGGGTGCAGGTACAAATAATACCATTAAACAAAATAAAGAGCTCAGAAACAGATCCATGCATACGTGAAAAGTTGCTGTGTAACCAAAATAGCATCATAAAATCAGTAGAAAAAGGATTCAATAAACAGCCTGAGCCAACCGACTATATAGAAGAAAGATAAAATCAGATCCTCAGTTGATACCATATATAAAAATGGACTTTTGATGGGTTAAAGAAGAAAACATAGGAGATTCTCTTATGACATTGGGATGGAAAAAAGTTTTCTTACATCAAAAATCACGTAACAGGCTGGGCACTGTGGCTCACAGCTGTAATCCCAGCACTTTGGGAGGCCAAGGCAGGCAGATCACTTGAGGTCAGGAATTCCAGACGAGCCTGACTCAACACAGTGAAAACCCATCTCTACTAAAAATACAAAAATTAGCTAGGCGTGGTGGCACACGCCTGTAATCCCAGGTACTTGGAAGGCTGAGGCAGGAGACACCCTTGAACCTGGGAGGCAAAGGTTATGGTGAGCTGAGGTCACGCCACTGCACTCCAGCCTGGGCAACAGAGTGAGACTGTCTCAAAAAAAAAAAAAAAAAAAAAAATCACATAACAAAAAATACTGAGAAATTGTTTTGCATTAAAATTTTTAATTTCTTTATAACAAAGACACTGTAAACAAAGGAAAAAGATAAATCCCGAATTGGGAGAAGATATTTGCAATCCATCTCTCAGACAAGAAGAATTAGTATCTAGAATATATAAACAACCAAACGGAAAACAAAACAAAACCTCCAGAAAATGTGTCTTACACACTCACTCTTTTCTGGACATGACTGTTCTTCCTCCCCATTCCACCCCCACTGCCCCAACCAGATAGTTTTATTGATGATTATCATACCCAACCTGGCTCAATCTAGCTCCTAACCCTAGAATTCTGAATTATGGGGAAAAAAAAAAAGAGCATTTTCTTCTGTAAAGGTGGAAAGATGTAGACATAGCCTATGCCCCCTGTTTTCTCTCAATACCCAACCTCCTCCCTCACACATAAAGAGACCAGTCTTCAGTAGAACAATGAAGAGGGTATGCAGAGAAAACACACAGGTGACATTCCACATACACTCCTGTTCCTTTGGCAGACTGGTTACATGAGTCAAACAATTATTTTCACTTAAGCTAGCTAGAGGTGAATTTCTGTAACTTGCAACCAAGAATTTAAAGAAGTTATTCAATGAGTCTTGAGGAAAATATGTTAGAAAAAAAGGAACAGTATTCATTATTGATTAGCCTTTAAGTAAATAAATTGATTAGCCCTTAGGTAAATAAATTAGCCCTACAAAGACCATTACACAAAAATCTGAAATCCTAAATGAACATAATTAACAAATAAATTCTAACAACCTATTTTAATCTGTGGCACTTACTTAAAAGCAAGCCCACTCCAAAAAATCGTGATTCAAATAGATGTATATTTGCTACACAAATATATACATGCTTATCTGATTGCTGAATCTTGATGATTTAACACAAGTATGCATTCATAATGCATAAATCAACACTAAAGGTGAAAAGTAATTTTTTTCTACCAGACACCCTATAGTCATTATTACTAAAGAAGAAGCCACTTTGAATAAGATGCTGAAAATAACCAATTCTTTTGTCACTCCCAAGAGTCAATCTTTTTTTGTTGCTTTTTGGGATTCTTTTTGAGACAGAGTCTTGCTCTATCACCCAGGCTGGAGTACAGTGGCACAGTCATGACTCACTGCCGCCTCAAACTCCCAGCCAAGGGCCAACCATTATTAATCTCCTTCCACTGTGGAAACTGACCACTCAGTCTTATCACATAACCAGGTTTTAATATCTCATAGAATATCATGGCACTTCTCACTCCTTGGTTACCAAATTTCCTTAAAAAGCTTCTTATGAAGGACTTTTAGCCAAATTCTTCTTGGAAGTCTGAATGAATTAGAACCACTTAGAGCATTTAATCTGTGTCTCTACCAATTCCCCTCAGTGTTTTTTCCAGTGTTAAAGCCAATCTAATTTGGTGAAACAACAGTAAAGGTGAAACACCTACTGTGAGGAAGAAAAAAACAACAATTCAAATACAGCCCATCTGCTGCTGAGAGCTCCTATAGAGAGCTTCCTTAGCCAACTCTGAATGAGACGGAAGTGGGACCGGGTGGGTAGAAGGGAAGGGGGAAAGAGCAGCCCTCTCTAAGAGCCACAGGCCCTGGGAAAGTTAGGATTATTAGGGAGCAAACTCTGTGTTTCTATTTTTTATTCATCTTCTTGACACTCAGCCACATGAACCACCAACTGCATCCTTCTGGGAACTTTCAGCAATTCAAAAAGGAGCATACACAAAGGACTAAGACAGAAGCTAAAGGCTAGATTGTGGAGTACCCTTGCTCAATAAAGTTGCTTCCAGCATTAGTCTCCCAAAATTTTATTTCTTATCAATTTCAAGGAAAAGAACAAAGCCCTAATGTAAAAATTTCTTCAAAAAATGTGTGGAACACTAGTCTATAAATCTTCAGAAGTTCTGTATTATATAGATTTCATTTAAAATTGGATTCATTAACTATTTTCCTCTGAAGTTAAAAAACACCTCTCATTACCATTCTAACCTGATTTAAGTACTGGTTTCTTACTATTATATTTCTTCCCATTGTTACAAAGGCAGATAATACATAAATAATAATCACCTACCATTTCAAACACTGGAATTAGAAAGAGAACCAGCCAGGCTTCACCTGCAAGGGCTCATGCATCCCAAGAGGGCAGTTTGTAATGTGCTACACGCATTACAGGATTCAGAGAGAACAAAAGAGAGTGCTTTTACATCTTAACAAAAATGACCCTTAGCACAGGCTGTTCTCTTACCAGCATGTCAGTGGCACTGAGATAGTGCTTGCTGGCCATGCACTGTTCCAGTTTTTGAGGCACTTGCTTGATATTCTCAATTTCATCCAGCAAGTTCAGGACATGCTTATGCTCAATTCCTTCAATCCATAGTTTCCGAAGCTCATCCCGTTTGCAGTGCAGCAGCATCTTGCATGAAAGCAGGTTCTCTTTTACCTACAATAAAACAGATTCAGTCTTGGGTCAGTCCAAAGTCTTGCCAGTCTAAACCTATAATCTGGTTAGTAGTCTTCACTGGTACTACTGTATGTAGCAGTTCCTAATTCCCACTGCCACTTACTCTCCTTGGTCTGCCTCCAAAATTCTAATCCTGGTTCTGACATAGCCTCACTTGGGCACATCTCCACCTCTCTCTAATTTCTCTCCCATGAAATGAGAAAACTACTCCCAACCTACCTTTTCTAGATTACCTTTGAGTAATCTAGAAAAAATTACTAAAGAGAAAGCACTCTGAAAACATGAAGTACCTCATAAATATTAATATACCTAAAAGGGGAGTGATCAGTGTAAGAGTCCATGCTACTATACCTTCCCCAATCCCTGCAAATCTCCTATCCAGCTGATAGGTCACTTGGTCCATGCTTCTAGCTCTAGAACTCCAGCTGAAGTTTAAAACCAAGAAACTGGGTGCTCAACTTAACTGACTAAAATAAAAATAACCCCAGCTTCCAAAAGAGAGTAGGCACATCCAGAGATAATCTCAAAATAAAAGGACGTACCAAGGCTTTTTTGCCTTGCATTCTGATTATTAGATATTAAATAAGACAACCTCCACCACCTGTAGATCTGCACGGTATAGCGACTAGCATACGCAAAACATGACAAAATAAAAGGGAGAACAGAGGAATGGAGGAGGTAGTTGTGATGCACGTGATAGAAGTAAGTTTTTATTTGCTCCTCTAATTGAAAATTTTCCATTTTTGGAAAATGGAAATGACAGCCATGACAGAATGGAATGACAGCCATTTTCCAGAAACATGGAAAAATTTTAAAAACCATGATCTTTCAAAATTCACAGAACTACTTTCATATATTTTTGATAGTCCTCACATGTATGTTATTTAAATTTGAGTTTAAATATTTCTTTACAGTTTTGTGTCTGGTTTATGTTTGAGGTAAAATTTATCCATGAATGCATCTCAAGTGTACCACATGGTAAGTTTTGGCAAATGCGCCCACCTGTATAATCCAAACCTTCATCAATACATGGGACATGTCCATCAGCGCAGAGTCTACCATACTTTTGATAACTGAAAATCTGTATTGTTCTTCTACAAGATTTGATGTGGTGATGAAAATATTCACTGACACTATGCCTCTGGTGATTACAAAACTAAATTTCAACATTCATCCAACAAGTATGGAAAATATGAGGACAAAATACCAAGATTAAAAGGTTTCTTGAGAAAGCACCTAATCCCTTCCTACAACTTCATGACAACACCTAAATCATGTTTCTATGAAACTCTCCCATGTTAAAAAAAAAAAAAAAAAAAAAAAAAAAAAAAAAAAAAAAAGTCTTGAATAAGAAGACCTTGTAACCTCTCTTAATAAATATAATAGACTGATTATTAATTTGGGGGGTCATAGAACTCTTTGAAAATCTGATGAAGATAATTCCAATTATTTCTACTCCCTCCTGCAATCCCACCAAAGTAATAGCAAAGAAATTTTTTTAAGCATAAAAAGAGAGAACAGAGAAGAACAGCAGCAAATAAGAGATGATAACAAAACTGTGGAAGTTAGCAAGAAGATGGACAGTAGGCAACTAAATTAGCAGGCCAGAGAAATCTGAAAACCTTAGCCTGGAGCAGGATTTGCTAATATCAAAAAGGAGGCACCAAGTATACTAAAGGCAGGGGTACTGGGTTAAAAGTTTCCATAGGAGTATTTTGAGCCCCAAATCTCCATCAAGCCACACACATAGGCAATTCCCTCCCCACAGCATTGGCCAAATTGGGAGCAACTGAATTGGAAAGGATCTAGACAAGGAAATGTCAGGTATGGTTGAGCGGAGGGCATGAGACACTACACAGAAAACAGGAGGATGAAGACAAAGTAGGACCTATTAAACAGTTAGATCATCAGCCCCCATGGACCCTCGGTCTCTGTCAACAGTTAGGCTCCAAAACACTGGCAGCTTGACTTTTCACCCCAACACAGGAGACGTATGGCTTCTCCCTTGGGAAAGTCAACTGGTCCAAGTGAAAAGGCTTATACAGATAGTGACATCTGACGATTCAAGGAAGAAACTGATGAGTCCCTACCCAACAATCATTATGGACAAGCTCCATAATATGTTCTGAGCTTCCAATCAGCTTTGCAGTGCCTGCCTCTTACATACAAACGGTTAGCCAAGGATCACCAGACATTCACAGAAAGCCTGCAGAATGGAATGACGGGCATCAAAACAAAAAGAGAAAATTACTGAAGCAGGACATGAGGGAACAGAAACTGCAGGAAAGATAATTTTGTTAAACGATAATTAACATCCTTAGGAAAAATAAAAGAAGCTATTACATCAATTAACCAAGGACAGAATGATACAAACATGAAAAACAACTCTTAGAAATTAAAACAGAAATTTTAAAAATCAAATTGAAAGGTTAGAAGGTATCCTTGAGGAAATCTCCAAATAGGAAAACACCAAAAAATGAGATAGGAGGTAAAACAAAACAATGGGATTGATCCAAAAGGTCCAACACTTACCAGATAGGAGTTCCAAGGAAGGAAAAGTGAAAAAAATGGAGTCGAGAAAAAAAGTTTTAAAATAATTAAATAATTTTTTTAAAAAACTGCCTGCCCGGGGCAGTATCTTACTATAATCCCAGCACTTTGGGAGGCTAAGGTAGAGGGCTGCTGGAGCTCAGGAGTTCAAGACCAACTCTGGCAACACAGGGAGACCCTGCTTCTACAATAAATTTAAAAATCAGCCGGATATAGTGGCACATGCCTGTAGTTCCAGCTATTCAGGAGGCTGAGTTAGGAGATCACTGGAGCCCGGGAGGTTGAGACTGCAGAGAGCCATGATCGTGCCACTGCATCCAGCCTAGGCAACAAAGCAAGACTCCAGCTCTTTTTTTTTTTTTTTTAATAAAAAAAGAAGAAAGAAAAAAAAATGCCAGAACATGCCAACACATAAGTTTTCAGATTGAAAAGGCACACCAAGTACTCAAGAAAATGGAAGGCAAAAAGGCCCAAGTCAGGACACATTATTCTGACATATAAGAACACAAGGGATAGAGAGACAATCACAAAAGCTGTCAAAGAAAAAAAGGAAAAACCAGGACCTATACAAAGGCTTGTGAATCAGAATGACATCAGATTTCTCTCAGCAGCAACATTAAAAGCTACAAGACAAAGGAACGATAAACCTTCAAAATTTTAAGAAAGAATTATTTCCCAGAAGAACTATCAATCAAATATAAGGAAAGAATAAAGACATTTTCAGGCTTGCAAGCTCTCAAAAACTCAACTTTGTATGCACCATATCTCAGCAAACTACTGAAGAATGTGTTCCACCACTACAAGAGAAAACAGAAGAGAAGAAACAAGGGATCCAGGAAACACAATACAGAAGAAAGGTAACAGGACTATCCAATCAGCAACTCCAGAAAAACAACAACACGCGCACACAAGAAAAAACATAATCATAGTATGCTGTATGGCTTAGATGTACATGTTAGTGTAGTTATAAAAAGGCAAGCACTGATCATCTATTTAACCAAAACTAGAATACAACTATATAGAGAGGATGAAGGAAGAGGATGTGGTAGGATGGGGAGAGACTGGGAAGCGGGCTAAGGCCTCATCTTCCGTAATTGGAAGTTAATACATAACATTTAAGAAAAAAACACACACAGCACAAGCATACTATTAGAAATAGAAATACCTAAAAAAGAAAAACTAAAAAAGTCGGCACCTCTGAGATGTTAGAACTGGGACTGGGGTAGGATGAGGTAGGAGAGTCCAGTCTTTTATCATCATTTGCGGCTTTATTTGACTTTTAAACATATCTCTCCGGCCGGCCGCGGTGGCTCACACCTGTAATCCCAGGGCTTTGGCAGGCCAACGTGGGCAGATCACGAGGTCAGGAGATAGAGACCATCCTGGCTAACAAGGTGAAACCCCCTCTGTACTAAAAATACAAAAATAAAATTAGCTGGGCGTGGTGGCGGGCGCCTGTAGTCCCAGCTACTCCGGAGGCTGATGTGGGAGAATAGCATGAACCAGGGAGGCGGAGCTTGCAGTGAGCTGAGATCGCACCACTGCACTCCAGCCTGGGTGACAGAGCAAGACTCCGTCTCAAAAAAAAAAAAAAGCACATCTCTAAAAGCCATTCCTAGATTCTACTGTAGTTCTTAGTCTCTAGGTTAAGGACTCCAGCTATTAAATCATTCCATTTTAAATCTTAGTTCAAATCTGTTAGAATCTTGATTTCTGATATCCTGCTCATAGCACCTTGCTAATATAGTTCTCAGCTTTTTCCTCTATGTGTAATGGTTACCATGGAAACAATTAAAAATAAATTTTATGTCATACAACACCCAACTAGGCTCTTGATCGAGAGTGGGGGACAAACTTACAGAGTGTCAGTAAAGCTTGGCAAACTCCTATCTGATTGGAAAAAGACAATTGTGTCATTTCACACTCGGATATGTACAATGTAATCAGCTCACTCATTTTTGCTTACTACATGGAAAGAAAAGTGAAGTAGAATTTGTTGGGGGTAAACAATTGGCATCAGTCTGTGTAGAAAATGACCACACCAAGATTCTCTAAACTGAGGTAACAAAGCTACAGACCAAAAAAACTACAGGAACTTTTAATACTAAATTGCCCTGAGGTTTTTGCTTTATGATTAGAAAGTCACAGTCGTAAAAAATGTTATTTTAGAAGTTGCGGGATAGGGTCAGTCAGCCACAAAAAGGAAGGAATAATGAAGAATCACAAAAACATTATGCCAAGCAAAAGAAGCTAGACACAAAAGAGGGCATAACATACAAAGTTCCAGAACAGGCGAAACTAATCCATAGCGCCAGAATTCAAATCAGTAGTTGCTTGGAGCAGGATGTGAGAGAGAACCGACTGCAAAGAGGCAGGAGAGAACTCTGGGGTGATGGTAACACATTCAGTGATATATACGTTTGCCAAAACTCATTGCACTGCACTCTGAAAATATGGCATTTTACTGTATGTAAACTATACCTCAATAAAGATGGAAAATACAGCCACTGTGGAAAATAGTATGGAGTTTCCTCAAAAAATAAAAAAATACAACTACCATATGATCCAACAATCTCACTACAGGGTCTATATCCAAAGGAATTGAAGTCAATATGTCAAAGAGATATCTGCACTCCCATGATCACTGCAGCCTAAGTGTCCATCAACAGATGAATGAAAAAAGAAATATGGTATAAGCACAATGGAACGCCATTCAGCATTTAAAAAGAAGGAAATCTGTTCGGGCATGGTGGCTCACACCTGTAATCCCACCACTTTGGGAGCCTAAGGTGGGTAGATCACTTGAGCCCAGGAGTTTGAAACCAGCCTGGGCAACCTGGTGAAAACCCATCTCCACAAAAAATTAGCTGGGCATAGTGGCATGCACCTGTGGTCCCAGATAGCGGAGGAACTGAGGTGGGAGGATCGCCTGAGCTCAGTAAGTCAAGGCTATAGTGAGCCCCAAGATCGCGTCATTTACTCCAGCCTGGACAACAGAGTGCGACCCTGTCTCAAAAACAAAAGGAACTCTTGTCATTTGCAACAACACGGATGAACCTGGAGGACATTATGTTAAGTGAAATCAGCCAGACACAGAAAGATGAATATTGCATCATCTCCCTTACACGTAGAATCTAAAATAGTCAAACTCATAGAAGCAGAAAGTAGAGCAGTAGTTACCAGGGGCTCGGAGTGAGAGGACGGGTTGAGAAGATGTTGGTCAAGTGATACAATACTTCAGTTAGACAACAGAAGTAAGTTCAAGAAACCCATTGTACAACACGGTGACTACAGTTAATAACAATGTATTGTATGCTTGAAAATTGATGAAAAGGTAGATTCTAAGTATTCTCACCACAAATAACTGACAAGCATGTGAGGTGATGTGTATGTTAATTAGCTTGGTTTAGCCATTCCACAAGGTATATGTATTTCAAAACATCATGCTGTCTACTACAAACATATGTAATTTTTGTCAATTTTTTTAAATTAAAAAATAAAGTTTTTTTTTAATGGGAAGAAACAGGGCTATACCCATCAATGAATAATAACATTCACATGTTAGAAAAGTATCAAATAACACTGAATCATTTATTTCTCAAAACTCTGTTCTACTTTTATAAATGTGATGACAGTATTTTCATTTCATTCTATTTAATGTATAAGTATAATTAAGATTGAAAAATTATGTTACTCCATTTCTTCCTTAAACAAATGCATGAAAAGTCAGGTTGTTCAAACCACGACATCAAGTCAGAGACAAATTTCCTTTGCTTTCTCAGAGTTTTAGTAACTTCACAGTTGCTCATAATCACCTGTTCAGCAATAGCTAGAATTTCACAAAAACTACAAGTCACCCTAACTAGAGACTATTAGAAAAAGAGAAAAGAAGGAAAACAGGGCTCAAGAGGCTATTGTGAATAGAAATGTGAGATGACACAGACGGCAGCGAAGTTGAGATTTTTGCAGCCCTCTCTTGGAAAAGATAAAGGGGTGAGAAAAGCAAAGTGGGGCTTTGAATAAAACTGCCTTAGCATTTGTGAGAGGAAGACCAGAGAGATATAGAGAGAGAGAGGGGCTGATACACACAGGCCTGGGGAAGGTCATAACTTTTAACTCATAAAATCAGAAAAGTACTGAATTTGGCTGGGCGTGATCGCTCTTGCCTGTAACCCCAGAACTTTGGGAGGCCAAGTTGGGCAGATTACCTGAGGTCAGGAGTTCAAGACCAGCCTGGCCAACATGGTGAAACACCACCTCTACTAAAAAATATAAATATTAGCTAGGTGTGGTGGTGGGTGCCTATAATTCCAGCTACTTTGGAAGGTGAGGCAGGAGAATCACTTGAACCTGGGAGGCGGAGGTTGCAGTGAGCCGAGATCGCACCATTGCACTCCAGCTTGGGCAACAGAGCGAGACTCTGTTTCCAAAAAAAACAAAAGAAAAGAAAAGTACTGAATTTGGATCAAGAAAAACATAAAGAAGTGAGGGAATGCCTCTGCGTATGCATATTATCTGTAATAAAATACAACAATGTGCAAACAGCTCATTGAAACTATAGACTAGAAATATCCTGAAAAATTCTCTATGAGGCAAGGATAGTAAATGAAAATTAATGTGTTGACATCATTCTTAATTTTAAAAGTATAAAATATTGAGATGTGTTCTTTGTTTTTGTTGAATTTTGTTGGCAAAAGTAAATCTACATATAAGCACTATCATAGGTTTTCTCCTGCCATAAGAGACCAACCCAATTTTTTCCATGGAGTCTTACAGAAAGCACCTAGAAAGAACAAACCTTGGAAATACCATTCATTGTTCTGTTTAAAAGCCTTTTAGAACTATAGATCATTTTTAAATTACCTTCAAACTTGTATTGCCTGTGCTTTCTTTCCCCGGGTTTTTTCAGTTGCCATTCTAAGGTCTGAAATTCTGAGAGGCTCCCCTCAACGCTTTCCAATACGTTCCTTTGAGCTGCAGAGCCTAAATACAGTACACAAATACACATACCTGAACTTAATGGAAAGATCACCTCATGGTTCCTGTGACTGCATTAATGTGCTCTAGAGTGCTGCACACATTTAAAATTATATCTCATTATTACCCACTGTTTAGCATGTCCATTTCTAGAAACCAAAGGCCTTCTCCCTTTCTCATACAAGTGGCTAGAATTTTCCATCTTATATTTGGGCTGTAAATAACTTCCTACCAAACCTTGTTGTTCTACTAGGACATTTTTAATATTAAGGCTATTCCTCGTTCCAATTCTACCTTTCAAGGTATAATCTCATTTAAAAGCCAGAATTATTTTAGGTATATATTAAATAATAAATGTTTCATTACTCAATGATTAAGCCCTAACAACTTCACTTGAATAATCGTGTACAGTTATTTCTCATTATAGGCAAGAAAAATGAGATTCAAAACTTGATCTAGTACCAACAAGGTGGTCAAAATTGGGATGAAATGTTAAGTGTTTGTTTGCACATCACAACAAAGCCAGGTATCTCCCTTCAACCTACCCTGCTGCAGCGATAAGCATTAGACTACTCTGTAACTTTAAAGAAATCTGAGGTCATCTCATTCACCTAGTACACCATAGAGAAACACACCAATCCATTTGGCCCAAATCCCCAATTTGTCTCAACTCATATCCATCTATTTTGGTGCTGCTGCTATAATAAGCCGGTCGGTCATTATTATGAGAGAACTGGCAAGACCTATGGAATTGGAGGTTTATCAACGCAATAACATCTCATTTTAAGAAATTTTACAATGCATTCAAAAGTAATAGAACTGCCCATTTATTTTGCTTATCGTCCACATTACTTGACCTGATCAATTGTACATGGTATCAAGGCTGAGCCTATGAGCCTTCTGTTGAGATCTCGACTCTACAAAAACAATTTTAAAATTAGCTAGGCATGGTGGTGAGTGCCTGTAATCCCAGCTACTCAAGAGGCTGAGGCAGGAGGATCCCCTGAGCTCAGGAGTTTGAGGCTGCAGTGAGCTATGATGGCACCACTGCACTCCAGCCTGGACAACAGAGTGAAACCCTATCTCTAAAATAAATCAATAATTAATTTTTTTAAAAAAAAGCTTGGACCATCAGGGAAGAAAGTTAAATCCATCTGTCAGCTCATTTTTATACTCAAAAACATAGAATCTACCAATATAATATAAATCAATATATGAAAGTAATGTCAAAAAATGAGACGTGTAGGCCACGCACAGTGGCTCACACCTCTAATCCCAGCACTTTAGGAGACCAAAGCAGAAGGATCATTTGATGGAGTATGAGACCATCCTGGGCAACATACGGAGACCCAGTCTCTGCAAAAAAATCAAATATTAGCCAGGCATGGTGGAATGCACCTATGGTCCCAACTACTCAGAAGGCTGAGGCAAGAGGATCACCTGAGTCTGGGAGGTCGAGGCATCGGTGACTCATGATGGTGCTACTGCACACCAGCCCGGGTGATGGAGAGAGACTCTGTCTCAAATGGGAAGCATAAACAGTTCTGTGGTCTCAAGCTTTAAAAGGTGGCAATGGACAAATATGAACATCTTCATTTGCCTTGGTCCCCACTGAAATCTATTCCCAGCACAGCAGCTAGAGTGGGCCTTTTAAAATGTTAGCCACACCATGTTATTCCTGTGCTCAAAGCCTTACAATCAATACTGACAGTTAAAATCAATGTCTTTCCAGTGACCTACAAGACCCTACATGACTTCCATCCACCCACCCACCACACCACATGCCCTAGCTCTCTCATCTCTCTCCTGCCACTCTCCCCATGCCTCATTTTGCTTCAACCTCACCAACCACCTTGCTGCTGCTCCCAACCTCCAATCATGCCCCTGCCTTAGGATCTGGGCACCTGCTTCCTTTCTTCCTGGAATGCTCTTCCTGACACTCTCCTTAACCTCCTTCAGATGTTGGCTCATACAGGACCTCAGTGAAGCCCTGTCTGGCCAACCCAGCTAAAACAGCAACTCCCTAGTCTCCTCTCCTTGGTGGGGGGGTGGGGGTGTGTGTAGCACTTCTCACCATCTGCTATACCACACTTTACTCATATATTCACTTATAGTCTATAGTCTGTCTCCCCCAAGTAGAATGTAAACTCCACAAGGACAGAAATATTTGTGTTTTCCCAGTTAGAATGGCAATCATTAAAAAGTCAGGAAACAACAGGTGCTGGAGAGGATGTGGAGAAATAGGAACACTTTTAACACTGCTGGTGGGACTGTAAACTACTTCAACCATTGTGGAAAACAGTGTGGCAGTTCCTCAAGGATCTAGAACTAGAAATACCATTTGACTCAGCCATCCCATTACTGGGGATATACCCAAAGGATTACAAATCATGCTGCTATAAAGACACATGCACACATATGTTTATTGCGGCACTATTCACGATAGCAAAGACTTGGAACCAACCCAAATGTCCATCAGTGACAGACTGGATTAAGAAAATGTGGCACATATACACCATGGAATACTATGCAGTCATAAAAAAGGATGAGTTTGTGTCCTTTGTAGGGACATGGATGCAGCTGGAAGCAAACTATCTCAAGAACAGAAAACCAAACACCGCATGTTCTCACTCATAGGTGGGAATTGAACAATGAGATCACTTGGACACAGGAAGGGGAACATCACCTATTGTGGGGAGGGGGGAGGAGGGAGGGATAGCATTAGGAGATATACCTAATGTAAATGATGAGTTAATGGGTGCAGCACACCAACATGGCACATGTATACATATGTAACAAACCTGCACGTTGTGCACATGTACCCTAGAACTTAAAGTATAATAAAAAATAAAAAAAAGAAACATTTGTGTTTTCTTCGCTTCTATACCTGAAAATCTAGAACAATCCTCAACACAAAGTAGACACTCAATACATAGAGACTACATAAATGTTGTTCAACATTATCTATTTGTTCGTTTTCTGTCCTCTCCTTTGCACATAAGCTCCATGAGGACAGGAACTGGTGTTTCCCATTTGTACAGCTCTAGCACCTAAAACAGAACCAGCAACGTAGCGGGCACTCAACAGATATTTGCTACATGAATCCTTATTATTTTGGCAGAGAACACAAAGAAAATTTCAACTCAGATCTATACATTCTCAGCATCTTGCTTGGCTCTGAGATAACATAGCCCAAACGTTACTGAATCATCCATGTTTTCACTTTAAAAAAATACATACCTATATTTCATATATAATCCAAAGTGCAATTAAAAGCCAAAAATGACAAGAAAAGATTAGTGAGAAAACATCAGTGTTTCCTTGGTGATAAGAAATGGACTGTCATGGTACAAAATTGTCAAAAACAAATTCATTTTCATTTTCCCCCAACACTTTTATTTTCCCATTAATCAATTATTAAAGGCTCTTTTGAAAAGAGCTTTGACCCTTTATTTCTCTTCCCAATACTGAAGTTAATTCATAACCCAGAATAGTATGACATTTACTTTCTTGACAACTATCAGATATAATAAAGTTTTGTTATTTTCTTTTGCTCAAAACTCAAGCATACTGAAAATGAGGACGGTCAGAAATGTGGCCACTAAAACAAATGTGAAATGATCAAGACGAGGCTCTTTTTCAATATCAGGAGAACATTGTTTGTTTGCAGCAAAGATGCTATTGACTCAGAGTGATGGGAAGCAAAGCAGAAATCACTGCTGGTGCTTCCCGTGAGATAAGGACAATGTCTTTTCAGTCAATCAGACTAATCAGAAAACACAAATACCATGAGGTCCTTCACCTTTGCTGTGATTACCCGAGGCAAAGCCAGAAGGTCAGCAGCTCTATACATTCATTGACCCCTCCTGAGCTTAGTATATTAGGTCAAAATGGACTACAGTTTACTTTAAATCTAGAGCAAGTGATCTATAACTTTACCTAGTTTCACAGATAAATCCATAGGATGAACTCAGCACTTGTAAAGGCAAACATTTATAGTATCCCTTTCAAAAATGCCCAGTTATAGCCAGGCGTGGTGATGCATGCCTGTAATCCCAGCTACTCGGGAGGCTGAGGCAAGAGAATCACTTGAACCCGGGAGGTGGAGGTAGAGGTGAGCTGAGATCGCACAAATGCACTCCAGTCTGGGCAACAAGAATGAAACTCCGTCTCAGAAGAAAAAAAAAAAAAGCCCAGTTAATTTTAAAATGTAGAGAGGTCAACATGTGGCTTCCAAAAAGGTTAAGAGTATACTGATTCTGGAGCTAGAGCTACACTCTTAGACATTGAAAGTCATATACCATCAGTATTTGTAGAAGCATAATTTATATATCTGCTTACAAAATCATAATGTAAGATCTAATGGACACAAAACAAAACATGAAGATGCCATATGCACAGCTGTTACTGGGCAGATACAGGCCAGACAGTCCCCTAACCAATCTGATAGCATAGGGCAGTGAATTTTAAATCACGGTCTATGCATCCCTCAGTCCCACAGTGGTGGGGAGAACCAAGCATGATGCTTTGGACCTCTCACCCCAAAACCAAATAAGAGGAGAGCATTGCCTCTCCTAATGATTGATATGTTGGTATTCTGCAAAATATCACCCAAAAAAAAAAGTTTCTGCTGCTTTAAAAATGCCTGAAAATCAGCATCAAAGGCCTTAGAATCAGGGAGATTAGAGTTCAAATTCTAAATTCATTGAGATGACTGGACATAATCATCCCTTGCAAAGACTCAGTGTTCATTCAGTAAGTGGTGGCAATTATTGTTATTTATCACAGAGTAGTACTGAGCGGTATTAAAGGAGTGATCTCAAAATACACAGTTAAAAACCATATAACTATAATGTTATACTACATAACCCTTATTTGATCAGTTCATCCTTTGGCCAATTATGAAAATACTCCTTACAAAACCATTTTATCCTTTAGGTACAAAAGACATAGTACCCAAGAACCAAGATTTTTCTCTAGGACCTAATGCAAAAGGAAGAAAGTGGGGGTGGGGAGCAAGATGGGGTAGGAGAAGAGAGAGAAGGGGAGAAAGAACGTGGGGGAAGGAAGAAAGGAAGGAGGAGAAAAAGGGAGAAAAACAACAAATAAAAGAAAAATTGTTCCAAAACATGAAAATAAAACTACAAAATAAAAATTAATGGCAGGGTGCGGTGGCTCACGCCTGTAATCCCAGCACTTTGGGAGGCCCAGGCAGGAGGATCACGAGGTCAGGAGATCGAGACCATCCTGGCTAACACAGTGAAACCCCGTCTCTACTAAAAATACGAAAAAAACATTAGCCAGGCGTGGTGGCGGGCACCTGCAGTCCCAGCTGCTCGGGAGGCAGAGGCAGAAGAATGGTGTGAACCCGGGAGGCAGAGCTTGCAGTGAGCCAAGATCACGCCACTGCATTCACTCCAGCCTGAGCGACAGAGTGAGACTCCGTCTCAAAAACTAAAAAAAAAAAAAAAAAAAAAAAAAAAAATTAATACACATTAATCACAACTAAAGCATGATATTCAAGAATTTTGGTTTTCTGCCAGGCATGGTGGGTCACACCTATAATCCCAGCACTTTGGGAGACTGAGGCAGGAGGATTGCTTGAGCCCAGGAGTTCAAGGCTTCAGTGAGGCACTACTGCACTCTAGCCTGGGCAACACAGCAAGGCTCCATCTCCAAAAAAAAAAAAAATTGTTTTCATAAACATTTCATTTTATGTTTAAATAATCTGTAGGTTAAATTTTCTTCACTTCACAAAAAATACCAAGAATGCACAATAAATGCAGGCAAATCACAACCAACTTCAATGTAGGAAACATACTCTCTTCTGTGGTTTAGATTCCGATAAAAGGGTATTCAGCTGGCTGCCCTCCAACTCATGTGAGTGTAAATAGGTCGGCCACTAAGATGCAGAATAGGCACTGACTCAATGGTCCAAATATTAGGCTTTGTTGTTTAGATGTGTGAAGTACAGGAATAACTGCTAGAATGAGAATGGAGAATACAAGGGCCAGTACACCTACTAGTTTGTTAGGGATGGACCGTAAGACACAAGCAAATGGAGGCCATCTTGCTTGTCTCATTCCACACTGCAGTGAGAAATAATGGCAGAACCAAGGATAAGACACAGGGGAGGGGAGAAATCAGCCGAGGATGCCTTCTGTGGTCTTTCCCAGCAAGCCTTTCCAGACACCTGCAGAACTCCTGAAAAGCGGAATTTTGAATCACTTATTAAGGACCATTTGCCACTACCATGGCTCCTCTCCAAGCTGCAACGCCTATACTGACAGGAAGTGCTGCCATCACCAGACAAGAAGGGAGGAATACCTGCTTTATTTTATTTCGGGAGTTAGTGATGCGCTCTGTGATGCTCTGGTATGTGCGAATGGCTGTCGTCAATTCTGTGTAGTGCTGCACAATCAATTCATCCAGGTCACGGTCACATTTTTCGTAGGCTTCTTCAAGGCGACCCTTCTCATTTTCCCTGTCTTCGACATCGTCACTAGTAGACAGAGTCCTGGTGAAGGCAGAGAGTATATTAAGCTGAGTAAAACTTGAAAGTAAAATGCAAAAGAAAGGTGAAGCACGTTCATCTTACTAACTAGGAAATGAAATAAGTTACAAACACAAAACACAAAACTTCCTTCACAGTAAATTCCAATAGCCCATCTAAGTGGATTTGTTGTTGCCTATCCAAGGGGCCCTTCTCTTCTGTCACTGGCATTAGAACTGATTTTAATCAGCTAGCAGGCAGGCATGAACGGTTCAAGAGACTGGGTAACTCTTGATTTAAGTGAACTGTTCCATTCTCCTTATCAGTGACAAGTCTGGTCAATGAGACAGACCTAAGGAAGTACTAGGAACAATTTTCTGCAAGAAGAATAACAAGAAAAGGTCCCTTTCCCAACCCTAGGTATCACTATACAAAGATAAGATACTCGACACTTCAGCCAGGTGTCTGAGTAACCGTGGAAGGAAAAACCAGGAGGAATGCCAAGCTACCACTATGTCCTTGGCCACCAAAGCAGCCCTGCAGCGGCCTTACCTCAGGACTTCTTGTTAGAGGAGATAATAAATATCCATTGTTTAAGTCACTTTCAGCTGGTCTTTTTCATACATAGCTGAAAGCACAGTAATGGATACAATTACTTATACACTGAGGAACCACCTTCCAAAAAGCTCATTTGAATGACCTGAATTTGGTATGGAGCCCCCAGCAGTCTGGAAATAAGGTCATATTAATTCTAAAATCTCTTACAACAGCAGTCATCTAAGGTATCCTACAGGACAGTTCCTGCACTTACTAGTCTTCAAACAGCACTAACAAGATTGATACAAATCAACAATAACCAGGGAATGAGATAGATATACTTATTAAAAATATTTCAATAACTTCGTTTGATACATGGACCACAGATCTTTGTTTCCTCCACTATCTTTCTCGGATAATTTTTTTTAATTTAGTATTATAATCAGTCACAAAGGAACCTTTTCCTCTTATCTGTTGGCTGTGGTAATTTAGAGTTTCATTAAATTCCCTCAGATTTGTCAGCTTATACATTCAGCCTAGTTTATTTCATTTATCTTTTTTAATTTAGGGAGGGGGATATTTTAGGTTCTCAATGATGGATACCATCAATTATAAGTCCATCATTAGAACTGCTTTCAGAGATGGTCTGTCAGCAAATTAATCACATATCCACTCTAGATATTTGCAAGCAAAATACTGTACAATAGTCTGCTCTGAACTGTCATTTACAGAAAAGGATCTTAATTCATGAGCCACACAATATATAAAACTCCTTTTTCAATTTATAGGGAAATTCAGGCCAGTCTTTGACTTCAATCTAACCTCCAAAAAGAATTTTGTAATTCTTTTTGTTAGGTGTTAGGGATGCCAAAAGATCAGCTATATCATGAATACGGGTAGGGGGATGGCAGGAACGAAGGCAAAGAAGGGAAGTGCAAAAGCCACTAAGGACAGTGTGGGATGCTCCAGAAAGGAACACTACTGGGAACCGCAAGACTTGATTTAAAGCCTTTACATGAGAGATCCTGTTTCCTCATCTGTAAACTGGTGATCCTAAACCAGACTACTTCCAAGGTTTCTTGCAGGTAGAGAATACCACCCAAGTGTTTGACTATTAAAGTAAATCAGAGTGGAGAATGTAGGCTAAACTGGGCTTCAAAAATAGAGCTACCAAGATTACTTGCAATATTTGGGTACAGAGCAGCTTAGCATGTATCATGTCTTCTTGTTGTTTTAATGATACACAACTTTGCTCTTTAAATCTGAAACTTCCAGGCTGTTAATCTAAAGTAAAGCACAATCAGAAAATGCCTTCAATTTATCAACTGTCCCAAAGGTAAGGGTTCCTAGATGTTTAACTCCATTATTTCCCCTTGTAACAGCAGTCACAGAATTGTCAAAGCTACACTAGATCAGTTTGCCATCTTTACAAGGCTTTTCATGATTTCTGCTCCACTACCATTTGTGGAAAAAATATAACATTTCACATTGTTTACCTTAACTAGTTAGAATTACCATTAAGGAAAATGTCAGGCCCAGAGAGGACACCTTCTCTGGCATCAGCTGTCACTATGAACACATTACTGGATCATTAGGAGTTATTTAGGGAATAGAAAGGGTTACTAAAATGAAGATTAGAGAGTAAATTGGGTCTACTGGGGGGTTTGCCTCCTATTTTCCTTTTTCAAGAAAATATTTATGTAAGAAATACCCTGTGCCAGCTTTGCCCCATATTTGAAATGTATCCTCTTGATGTAAACTGGGATGAATAATATTTTGTCTTTAGTGAAAAATATTTACATTACAGAACTCAGAGTGCAAAACTATTAAAGCTTTTTTTTTTTTAATTAGAGAAAAGGCAGCAAGGATAATAAAAATAATAATAGCCTCTAATATTTAGAGAGGCTTACTAGCTGCCAGGAGCCAGCTGTGTTGCACATTTTATAGAATGTATGTTTAATCCTCATAACAGGCCTTTGGAGTAGGTCCTATTATTATTCCCTCCCCTCTTTTTACAGATGAAATAGCTGAGATTTAAAGAGGTTACATTAATTTACACCACCTCACACAATGAAGGTTAGGAATAGTATGGGGATTTAAAACCCAGGTTGGTCTGCTTTCAGATTGCACTCCTAACAGCTACAGAGTGGTGTCTCTTCAGGCAGAGTAAAGCTGCCTGGGTTAGAATCGGGGCTCCACCATACTGACGACTCATGACCTTAGTAATAGCATCTCATTTTGCTCATCTATAAAGTGAAAATACTAAGATACCTTCCACATAGGGTTGTTAGTGAGAATTAAATGAGATCAAACAAGGCCTGGTATGTCATTAGCACTCAACAAATGTTGGTTGTTGTCATTAGCTATTATTGTTCTAGTAAAAACAGTAGTAATAGCAGCAGCAAAGGCAGTAGCGTTTTTCCACAATACAATAAAAAGTACACCCTCTGAAGACAAAAGTTAAAATCCCACCGCCCCCAAATACTAGATCACTTAACTCTAGGCATCAGGTTTAAACTCTCTGGTTCTCACTTTATTCCTCCTTAATGTCAAGAATGGTGAAGGCTGAGATTTTATCCTACTTGCAAGCTAAGAGGTTAGCCACAGTTTCACAGGCGCTGGCAGAAGACACAAAACTCCTGGAGCTCCTCAAATCCAGAAGACTTGATCATACTCATAGCACAGCAAGCGGCGTAAGTGCAGCATGTTCACATCGGTTCCCCTCGCCCCCGAGTCCCACAGGGGTTAGGCAGATGGGCCCAAGGAGAAGTTTGCCCACATAGGCAGCTCCTGGAGAAGAACTCCGAGCCCCAAAAACCGAATCTAAGCCCCGAGACTGGACTGGAAACACACCTGCCCCTTGCTCTGGAGTGAGAGACCATCTCTATCTTCCAACGCTGTCTGCTAAACAAACATCCTTGGCAAAATAACCTAAAACAAAGGGCAATCAGTGCTTGGCTCACAAGAACTTCAGAAACATACGAGACCTGAGGAGAATGGTCTCCCAACAATAATAAAATCTAAGTCATTGGGTTCCTTCAAGGATTGAATGCATGGTGCCAAGCAACAGCAGGCAGTGAATATTTATTTCCAAGCTCTGTTTTCTTTTCTGCAATATGAGAGCAGAAATACAATGTCTCAGACAATAAATATTTGTCTGAGATAAATAGTCAATAAAAATGATAGACCATAAAAGCATGAGAGGCCAGGTGCGGTGGTTCACACCTGTAATCCCAGCAATTTGGGAGGTCCAGGAGGGCGGATCACAAGGTCAGGAATTCGAGACCAGCCTGGCCAATATGGTGAAACCCTGTCTCTACTAAAAATATAAAAAATCAGCCAGGCACAATGGCCTGTGCCTGTTGTCCCAGTTACTCTGGAGGCTGAGGCAGGAGAATCACTTGAACCCAGGAGACGGCGGTTGCAGTGAGCCGAGATCGCACCATTGCACTTCAGCCTGGGCAACAGAGTGAGACTCCGTCTCAAAAAGAAAAAGAAAGAAAAGCATGAAAGAGCTGACTAATTCTAGGGAGAAAGTTCTCATGCACGCTAGCAAATCCCAGCAAATTTCAGTGTGGGATTATCTCTAGTCCCTTAACCTGAACAGACAGCAGTGCAGAAAAGAACACTTGTCATTGAGCTCCCTCCATCAGCCAGGTCATGAACCTCTCTTCAGCCTTCTAAGCCTCTGTGCAATGCAGAGCTCTACCAGCTCACAAAGCAATTCACTGCAATTTGGAACAGCTTTACTTATTATAAAGCCTTCCATCAAAATAAAATAAAATCAGCCTCTTTATAATTTCTACCCATTGATCCTAGTCCCATCTTTTTCTGTAACACAAAAAATGTCTATTCCTTCTTCCATAAAATTTCCCTTTAAATGGTGAAGGACTTTCGATAGTTCTTTCTTGGGTTACACACCTCCAATTTCTTCAACTGTTTCTTCCATATCATGACTTCCAACAGCCCACCATCCTTTTTGCTTTCATCTGAAGTCCCCTCGGAAACAGGTAACACTCATATAGAACTTACTAGTGCCAGGCATTAATCTAAGTGGTTTACACATACTAATTAATTTATTGCAAAAACATCCTTATGAGGTAGGTACCTGTATTAATCTGTTTTCATGCTGCTGATAAAAACACACCTGAGACTGGGCAATTTACAAAAGAAAGAGGTGTACTGGACTTACAATTCCACGTGGCTGGGGAGGCCTCATGGTGCAAGGTGAAGGTGAAAGGCACATCTCACGTGGCAGCAGACAAGAGAACAGGGCTTGTGCAGGGACTCCCCTTTTTAAAGCCATCAGATCTCGTGAAACTCATTCACTATCACAAGAACAGTGCAGCGAGGAGAGACCCCCTCAATTCAATCAACCCCTACTGAGTTGCTCCCACGACACATTGTGGGAGTTAAAATTCAAGATGAGATGTCGATGGGGACACAGCCAAACCATATCAGTACCATACTTATCCCTCTTTGTAGAG